CTTCCAAACCCGGCTTCATCTAATCGGTAACAAGAGGTTTATTTTCGTTGTAACGAGGATGTGTACATTTTCTCCCACCTTTGAGGCAATGTAAACAGTTTCAGATTTTCATATTATATTTTGATATGAAATAGTTTATATATTTATATCATTTTATTACTCTTTTTACTCATTTATTTTTGATATTGAATTGTAATGCTGTAAATTAAGTGAGCAAAAGATGAATGATTTTATATAGAATAAAAATTACATCTCTAGAGATCGTCGATTCAAAATTTTCAGAAACCTTAGACTTCCGTTCGATTGGATTATTTAAGTATGTTTAGATATCTCTAAGGCTCATTCACATTCACATGTGACTATTAAAAAATCATTCATTCTGATCTATTACATGATCTCTTCATAATCCTTAGCCTCTTGCATGATCCAATGAGAACAGTCTGCACATAAATAATTTCATGATTTATTAGAGTATCAATTAAATAAAACGTAATTAGTTGAAGATTATAGAGAGGAAACTGGAAACATACTCCCAAGGAACATCACCAGCAAGCATCCAATCTCCATCTTTGTCCTCATATATTGGTACGCATTCACTTTCCTTCAATGTATCATCTTCAATTTCATATATAAACGTTATACTACCTTCAATTCCAATTTTAATGGAAATGTATTAAAATATATACGAAGGTAGTAAAGTGTCGGAAATAATTCTATGGAAATGTATTGAAATAAACTGTAACTTTTGGGGAGATCTTCTTAACGATTTCCCTAGTTTTCCAATCATAAATAATGGTACTAAAATTTCAGATGTTGTTAACGTCAATCAATTAATCAGAGAATATGGTAGTTCTTATTTAGTTGGAATATTTCCACAATATTGTTCTTGTATAGATTTTACTAAGCTCATGCTTAGTTCCTTTCCGATGCAAGACTCTTTATTATGGCTTCCGGTTAACTCAGGATGTTACTCCACGAAGTCAGGTTATGCAATTACAAAGGTCCATCATTTCCCAGCCATAGCCGACAATTTTAATTGGAAAGACTGTATCTGGAATATTAAAGCTCTACCAAAAGTGAAGATGTTTTTATGGAAGCTTAAAAACAGAGCCTTAGCCCGTAGGCAATAACCTTGCAATCAGGGGTATTCAAGGATGCCAACACTGCAACGCACTTGAGGATGAACTACATATAATCTTCAAGTGTCCTTTTGCAGCTCGGGTCTGGGATTTAGTCCCTACTCTGTTCCAACCTTCAAAAACAGAGCCTATCACCTTGTCACAACTCCTTTCAATCTCACGTAACCAGGTAACGCTTCCACCATCAGGAATCTCGTTGACACCTTTGTACCCTTGGATCTATTGGAACCTATGGAAGGCAAAGAACCAACTCCTCTTTGAGAACCGACGATGCACTGAAGCTGATATAGTGTCTAAATCGATCTCTGAAGCTCGTATGTGGCAAGAAGCACAACTTAAGGTTATTACGGCCCATCTAGGCCCAAGACAGCCTTTGACCCAAACCCACCCCTCACTTGAAGTTCATTGTTGCGTCGATGCCTCTTGGTCTACATCTTCTCTACACTGCGGAATGGGTTGGTGCTTTAGAGATTCAAGATTGACGATCCTATTGCAGGGATCCTCCTCTCGACGTCAGGTCTCGTCGGCATTGCTCGCCGAGGCCCTGGCTATGAAAACTGCCTTAGTTGCAGCCATTACCGCTGGTTACCGATCTCTCTCCATGTTTTCGGACTCCCAGTCTCTTGTCACGCTCATCAACACGAATGGCGTGTGCAATGAGTTGAAATCGATTCTTAACGACATTCATTGTTTAAGGAATGATTTCGTTTCTATTGCTGTCCCGAGATCGGCCAATGTTACTGCCGATACTCTAGCAAAGTTGGCTCTTGTAAGTCTTAACAATAGCTCCCCTCGTGGAGACTAAGTTCTAATATAATCGGTTTGCTAAAAAAAAAAAGATTTTACTAAAGATTTTCGTACTTTTAAATTTGGAGTTGATGATACATATATTCCGTACCATAATATTTAAATTATTAATTAGATATCGAAAATGTTAATTTTTTTTATTGAAAGCTTTCAATATTTCCAATTATCAAAGATTTTCGTATTTGAATATTAGAATTGATGATACATAAATTTCAGAGCCAAATTCCACACTTTTAAATTTGTAGTTGCTCATAGATTTTAATTCTGAGATATTCTTATTTGGATAGACAAATTTGTGGAGATAACGATTTTCATAATCTTGTAAACGTCAGATTAATCTTGTGTAGATTTTACTAAAGATTGTCATACGTTTAACTTTGGAGTTGATGATATATAAATTTACATTTGGACCGGAATGAAATGTAATCGATTTATTTAATTGATCTTTTTGGTTGAATAGACTTTTTTGGAAATAAAGTAAGATCCATAAAAACCCAAAACGAAATTATTTTAAA